TTCTGACACTGGGGGGGGGGGGTGAAAACGATCACTGACATCCCCAGTGACACTAACACAGTGATCAGTGCTAATAAAAAGAAAGCACTGACACTGTTCTGACACTGGGCAGAAAGGGGTTAATAACAGGGGTGATCAAAGGGTTAACTGTGTGCTGTGTGTGTTTTATGGTGTAAGCACGCTGTTTTGTATGGCTATGCTATGCAGAGCAATACGAAGCAGAATGCTGGAGCGGACAGGGCAGATCTGTATGGTTTACATACAGACCTCAACTCCGTCAGTGATACTCGGCAATCTCCGGGTGCCAGCGGGGAATCACCAACCGGGGCACGGTGGTTGCCAACTGAAGCCAATGGCAGTGCGAGTAGGGCGCGCACACAGCACGCGTGCGCCCCCTACCTGGAAGTGCAAAATCATGTGTATATACACATGTGATTTTGCACAGCTCTGCCACCCTGTAGCAGTATTTCTGCTATAGGGTGGCGGGCAAGCGGTTAAGTGCCATACTTGTTGGCCTATTATAATTAACCCACAGCGTGGCTCAAAAACTAGTTATATTCTGTGTATCTAAGAAAGAATCCAGGCCTTTTTTTAAAGCAATCCACTGAGCTGGCCAGAACCAACACTTGAGGGAGTCTATTCCACATTTTCACAGCTGCTCTTACTGTAAAGAAACCTTTCCTACTAAAAATAGGAAAGATCAGCACCATCCTGCCTGTGATCTGGGATGCCTCATACATTATGAACACACATGTGCAGCACTCCTCCTGTCACCACAACAGCTAAGCCCGGAGAGGGAAAACAAACTGCACATGCGTGGATCTTGAAAGAAGTAGAGTGCTTGTTCCAGTGATGCGGGAGTGCATCCAATGTATTGTTCCAGTGATGCCGGTAGTGCATCCACTGTATTGTTCCAGTGATGCCGGGAGTGCATCCGATGTATTGTTCCAGTGATGCCGGGAGTGCATCCAATGTATTGTTCCAGTGATGCCGGGAGTGCATCCAATGTATTGTTCCAGTGATGCCGGGAGTGCATGCAATGTATTGTTCCAGTGATGCCGGGAGTGCATCCAATGTATTGTTCCAGTGATGCCAGGACTGCATGCAATGTATTGTTCCAGTGATGCCAGGAGTGCATGCAATGTATTGTTCCAGTGATGCCGGGAGTGCATCCAATGTATTGTTCCAGTGATGCCGGGAGTGTATCCAATGTATTGTTCCAGTGATGCCGGGAGTGTATCCAATGTATTGTTCCAGTGATGCGGGGAGTGCATCCAATGTATTGTTCCAGTGATGCCGGGAGAGCATCCAATGTATTGTTCCAGTGATGCCGGGAGTGCATCCAATGTATTGTTCCAGTGATGCGGGGAGTGCATCCAATGTATTGTTCCAGTGATGCCGGGAGAGCATCCAATGTATTGTTCCAGTGATGCCGGGAGTGCATCCAATGTATTGTTCCAGTGATGCCGGGAGAGCATCCAATGTATTGTTCCAGTGATGCCGGGAGAGCATCCAATGTATTGTTCCAGTGATGCCGGGAGTGCATCCAATGTATTGTTCCAGTGATGCCGGGAGTGCATCCAATGTATTGTTCCAGAGATGCCGGGAGTGCATCCAATGTATTGTTCCAGTGATGCCGGGCGTCCCAGATCACAGGCAGGAAGGCACAGATCTCTCCTATTAGTAGTTTATCAGCCAGGCTGTGGGTAAGCCGTGATAGGGCTACAGGTATGGTCCTTAAATTAGATTCCAAATAATAAACTACTGGGGCCCTCAGACCACATACTGCATATTAGAAAGGTGAATTTAGCTGAAGGTTAAATAATCTGAAATTACAATTAGCTTTTTGTTAAATAGCTCCTCACAGCATTTGCAGATACATATATAAAAGGTTGGACAAGGTTATTGGAACAAAGTATATCTGAGATAAATACTGTATTGTCAGGAGTAAGAAAGATCTTCCCACATATAGCTGACTTCCTGTCCAGAAACCCAGCCAATAGGCCAACTGTCACTTCTTTAGCTGCAAATACTGATAACATTGTGCAATAAACCATAACACAAACAGAAACTCACCATCAACTGTCCAGATGTCTGTATAGGCGTGAAGTACTTTAAAAATATTTGCGTATATTATTTGTAGTATTTTTATATTCAATAGTTTTTTCAATTACATTCACATTTTAGTGAAGAACTGAATGGTACGGTTTGTCTATGTTACCTGAAAGGTCACAGCTGGAACTGAAATACCAAGAGCTCTGATCCCTGAAGGTGTAAACTCTGCCATTTTTCCCAGCTTGTCCCACCAGTTGGGAGACAGAGAGCCCTTCCTAAATGCGCCAGCTGTGCTCCTGCATTCTCACCCTTTCACCCAGGCTTCCAATACAGACTGCAAATGGACATTTCAACACAAAATTATGCAGACATTGGTCCACTGGTGTCACGTTCAGGTAACCTATCATGAGAAATGCCATGCAACCATCGCTGGAGTGCATGTAGACAGGAAGTGCACAAGATCACCAGCACTGAAAAGCAACAAAGGATCAAAAAGGTGTAACCAAGTATATTATTTAAAGTTTTACCAAACCCAGGACCCTACATTCACTATATCCGGTCTCCCACAGTACACACAACAAGGAAATGCAATTATTTTAGTAAATATAAACTGCTAAATACCTTTTCTCATCAGCAGTATAGAGCAGTCTTGTGACTTCTATTAGTGTCCAGCAGTGCACTGGTTTAAAGCTTGTTAGAGGAGTTTTCATTCTGCTCTGAGTGTCCTATGAGGCTGCATAACCCCTGACATCTGTCTGGACAGTGCTGATTGGCCTTGTGCAGATCACATGCACCCAGTCAAAAGGTAAAAAAAAAACATCTAGCCATACATACTAAACTGAGCATGTGTAGAGTGACTCCTAAAGCTCTGTACTCAGCAGATTGATTGGGGACAGTGGAAGAAGAGGGGGGGGGGGCAGAAAAGACAGGATCAAACAGCCTTTTTATACAATGCAAAGGATTAAGCCCTTAGGGTACACAGTGAGTATAACAAGCATACTTTACTGTATATAAAGAATGATTTTACTGTTGTGGGTTTAGTAACACTTTATATAAATGAAAAAAAACAAAAAACACACTGCCTTACCAAACGAAGGGCTCACTCAGTTAGGGATTAAATCTACTTTATGGCTCTGCCTATCCTAAAATAAAATTGTTCAGGCAACATTTTCAGCGGCAAGCCACCACACTAGTACTAGGAAGATGCATGGAGTGCCATTCACAATGAACAGCATTCACTGCACATCTAAAGCACATATCATTACTGAAGAGCAGTGAATGGGCTCTAAAGGGAACCTGTACCCACAGAAAATGGGGCTCCTATTGTTCACTTCCTTCTGGAGTGGCCCACTTACACCTGTCCATTCCTGTGTCGCAGTAATGCATCAACAAAGCATTCCAGTGTGAGTGCACTGCGGAGACATTCATTTTCAATTACACCCAATGCATTAAGGCAGCTCACCTCCGACACACGTTTGTTGCAGCACACCATTAGGCTCCATGCACACGGGGCGTTTTAATAACGCTGGTAGCATTAGCTGTGTAAAGTCACGTTAAAATAGTGAGTTTTCAGCATTTTTTTTTATTTTTTTTTTTTTTTTTTTTAGCATTTTTGTATTAGCATTTACATTTTTTAGTTTTATTTTTGCCCAAAAAACACTGGTTTGCTGCGTTTTACTGTGTTTTTTCAGCATTCGAGCGTTTTTACAGCTAAAAAAACTCCTCTAGAAACCCACTAGTTCTGGGTTTTTTTCCAGCCAAAATAACACACCTGACAAAAAACGCTGATTACAGTCCGTGTGTGCATAGATACACAGGATAACATGCTGGGGAGTTTACTGGCTGTAGAAAAAAAAAATGCCAGAAGCCAAAAATAACCGCTGTAAAAACGTCCAGTGTGCATGAGGACTTAAGCACAGTAAGTTGTGTCAGAAAAAAAAAATGCTGCATGTCTGATTACTTGTTCGTTATGGTGTTAGCAGTCCATGCATCTGAATAGGCTGACAATGCAATACATCAGACAGGACAGATATGAATGGGCCCCTCGTTGCCGGAATGTCTCTGCCTTCAATGCGTTCTGAGTCACCAAATCAGAAACAAAGCAGCAAAGCAGTGAGGTTAGTACTCCTAGATGAGCATACTCGCTCTGGCCTACTGGGACTAAAGCTATACAATTGAATGAATAGGATACAACTGCCAAGCTACTCATTTTAGGAGGTCAGCAACAACAGCTTTAGCTGGAAAATTCCTTTAGGCTAGGTTCCAGTATCTGCAGAGTGGTAACGGGTCAGTTTTGCATTAAGGTGCTTCACACCATAGCAGCCTATTAATTTCAATAGGCCGCCTAATGCACCAAAAAAGAGGCAAATACACAGTAAGGCTTGGTTCACATCTGTGTGGGTGGTGCAGCTAATCCATGCAGCCGCACCACCCGCACAGAGAAATGCGGACCCGCGGGTGGGTGCCATTAGTTCTAATGTCACACCACCCGCACTGGAAAACGCAACTGTACTGGGAACCGAGGTTCCCGTGCGGGCTGCATTTTCAGAAGAAGTGCAGGGACTACTTCCCTGCGTGTCCCGCGTGTCAAATGAATGTGCTCCCGTGCCCACACAAATTACAGCCCGCATGGCTGCATATATGTGAACCGGGGCTAAAGCATTATTGTGTTCTGGTGTGCTGTAACTCACATTGATTCTTTGGGGTATTAATAATGAATGGCACTGTTTTGGCACGTTTTGCACCAATGCGCACCTTGCCCCTGTATAAACAGTATAAAGAGGGTCAGAAACACAGCATTTGCATTTTCCTCACCTGCTTCACTAACTGCTCAGTTTAGAAAATTCCCTTTATCAAGGCAACAAGCACACATTGACAACAGGCTAAGCCCTGGTTAACATATATGCGGCCGTGTTTTGCGCGGGCATGACAGCCCATTCATTTGTATGGACTCCTGTGCCACGCAGAGAAGTCCCTGCACTTCTGAAAATGTAGCTCGCACGGGAACCTCGGTTTCCAGTACAATTGCGTTTTCCAATGCGGCCGGTGTGCCATTAAAACTAACCCGCAGGTCTGCATTCCTCTGTGCGGGTGGTGCCGCTGCACGGATTATCGTGCGGATCCGTAGCAGCACCACCCGCACAGATGTGAACCTAGCCTAAGTCTAGGTTCACACCTATGCGTTTTCCGGAAACGCACAGCAGTCCCTTTAACATGATTTCCTATGGGACAGGTTCACATCTCTGTGCTTTTACCTGGTGCGTTTTTTGGAAAAGGTCAGGGACGATTATTTTAAAACACAAAACGTTGCATTTTTGGTTTTATAGACTTCAATGGAGACGCTGCAGAAAAGCATGTAGTGTGTTTTGATGTGTTTTAATCTGCCCAGCAACAAGTTAAAAAAAAAACGCATCAAAACGCACCGCAGAAACGGATCAAACGCAAACTGCATAGGTGTGAACCTAGCCTTAGGCAACTGAAGATGCAGCAAATGCTCAGATTTTCCAGGTAGATCACAGCACTCTTCCTCTACATACTAATACAATAGTCATGTTCAGAGCGAACTACTTCATATTCAGAGCACATACAGGCAGGACGCAGGACCAGCTGTGTAACCACACGGAAGTAGAAATGACAGCCTCGGCCACACGTCAGCAGTGCAGGCATTTATCTACATACACCTGAACAACACGTAACAAGGTTCCAAAGATTCCACTGCTATCTGGACTACACACCCTCTCCACCACTCAGTACAACACGCTCCACTTTACATCCAGGATATGCAACTCCTCCCTGACTTTAAGAGGTAAAAAGCAAAGGTTTCCCATTATGCAGGATTAAACGTTTACGTAAAGCCTAATAATTAACTTCTTATTGCATTCAACCTTCTGAATGAGATAATGCACATGGAATGTCTTGTTGGTATAGGAAGAGACACTGATGACAAAATACTGTATGCGGACAGCCCAGGTTATTTACAAGGATCCACAACTTGGTGGTCCCCACCTCTCCCAACGTTCATGGAGGTCCACTCACCCCATCAACATTACCGACTATATTGACTATGCACTACTTGAAGCCTTGCATTCTCTACAGCAGGCCAAGGGGAGTCATCATTTGGACCCTCATTCCCTACATCATTCTTTCTCCCTATAAAGCCAGCCATAGATGGTTCGAATCTCAGCCAGTTCAGCAGGGACCGTACAAGATTCGAACTATGTATGGGCAGGCTGAATGTACCAAAGTTAATTGATCAATCAACTAGGGTTCAACCGTCCTGTTGGATTTTGCACATGATTATTGCTAGCGGCTATTATATTCACTAGCAGTAATGGTGTTTTTCCAGGGACAGCTCCTCCTGCCAAGAGAACACAATGCCTCTGCGGGAGGGATTACCCCATTAACACTGACTGCGTTGATAGGGGAAAGAGTGATTTTCTTTACTGCAACCAGTGAAAAATTGCTTCGTCTATGACCGACTTAACCCTTACCCTCTCAGCCCCCTATCTGGGACATTTCTGGTCACGCAAAGTGCAAGCAGTTAATCACCCAGTCTGTATGCACCCATATAAAGTGCAAGCAGCTAATCACCAGGTCTGTATACACCCATATAAAGTGAAAGCAGTTAATCACCCAGTCTGTATACACCCATATAAAGTGCAAGCAGCTAATCACCCGGTCTGTATACACCCATATAAAGTGCAAGCAGCTAATCACCCGGTCTGTATACACCCATATAAAGTGTAAGCAGTTAATCACCCAGTCTGTATACACCCATATAAAGTGCAAGCAGTTAATCACCAGGTCTGTATACACCCATATAAAGTGTAAGCAGCTAATCACCCAGTCTGTATACACCCATATAAAGTGTAAGCAGTTAATCACCCAGTCTGTATACACCCATATAAAGTGCAAGCAGCTAATCACCCGGTCTGTATACACCCATATAAAGTGCAAGCAGCTCATCACCAGGTCTGTATACACCCATATAAAGTGTAAGCAGCTCATCACCAGGTCTGTATACATCCATATAAAGTGCAAGCAGCTAATCACCCGGTCTGTATACATCCATATAAAGTGCAAGCAGCTCATCACCAGGTCTGTATACATCCATATAAAGTGCAAGCAGCTAATCACCCAGTCTGTATACACCCATATAAAGTGCAAGCAGCTAATCACCCGGTCTGTATACATCCATATAAAGTGTAAGCAGCTCATCACCAGGTCTGTATACACCCATATAAAGTGCAAGCAGCTCATCACCAGGTCTGTATACACCCATATAAAGTGCAAGCAGCTCATCACCAGGTCTGTATACATCCATATAAAGTGCAAGCAGCTCATCACCAGGTCTGTATACACCCATATAAAGTGTAAGCAGCTCATCACCAGGTCTGTATACATCCATATAAAGTGCAAGCAGCCAATGACCCGGACTGTGTACACCCATATAAAGTGTAAGCAGCTAATTACCCAGTCTGTATACACCCATACAGACTGGAGGGCCGCCAGTTTGACACCCGTGGCCTAGTCCCTCCGCCATTCACACTCATTTTTCCTGCTGACCTCCACATTATTAATGGTCATTTCATGCTATACTGTGCATAAAAATGTATAACACAATGAAAACGCATGGGCAGTAATGGCCATTTATGCACATTGCACAAGGTTTGCGGAAACCCACAACAGTCCATTTGACATGATTTCCTATGGGACAAGTGCCCATCTCCACATTTTCACCCGGAGCGTTGTTTTGGAAAGGTCAGGGACTTTTTTTTAAATGCAAAATGTTGCGTTTCTGGTTCTATAGACTGCAATAGAGACGGTGCAGAAAAATTTGTAGTGCGTTTTTGATGCGTTTTAATCTGCCCAGCAACAAGTAAAAAAAAAAAAGCAAAAGCAGCAAAACGCAAAATGCACGGCAGAAACGGATCAAACGCAAAGTGCATAGATGTGAACCTTGTCTAAACCAGCTTTTTTTCCCCACTTCGGTTGAGTTAAAATGCATGGGATTCTGTTAAAATGAATATATGTTGCATTTTTTACTGCAGTGCACTACACATCTATCTAATATTGGTATGTAAATGAGGCACACAGAAAACCATTGTTTTCTATGTCTCTAGCAGTGACCTGTCACTGTTTATTCAATACAGAAAAATGCAGGTCACTGGACATGGTGTGAACAAGCCCTAAAGATAGCAGATAGCAGTAGAAAAAAAACAAACAAAAATAAAAAACAAAACAAACAGACACCAAATAAAAAAAAAACAAAAAAACACCAATGATGGGGCACTTTTCCTCCCACTGACACCAATGATGGGGCACAATTCCTCCCACTGACACCAATAAATGGTACACTATTCCTCCCACTGACACCAATGACGGGGCACTATTCCTCCGCCTGACACCAATGATGGGGCATTATGCCTCCCACTGACCCCAATGATGGGGCACTATTCCTCATACTGACCCCAATGATGGGGCACTTCCTCCCACTGACACCAAAGATGGGGCACTATTCCTCCCCGACACCAATAAGGGGGCACTATTCCTCCCCCTGACACCAATGATGGGGCACTATTCCTCCCACTGACACCAAAGATGGGGCACTATTCCTCCCCGACACCAATAAGGGGGCACTATTCCTCCCACTGACACCAATGATGGGGCACTATTCCTCCCACTGACACCAATGATGAGGCACTATTCCTCCCACTGACACTAATGATGGGGCACTATTCCTCCCCCCTGACACCAATGATGGGGCACTATTCCTCCCACTGACACCAATGATGGGGCACTATTCCTCCCACTGACACCAATGATGGGGCACTATTCCTCCCACTGACACCAATGATGAGGCACTATTCCTCCCACTGACACCAATGATGGGGCACTATTCCTCCCACTGATACCAATGATGGGGCACTTTTCCTCCCACTGACACCAATGATGGGGCACTATTCCTCCCACTGACACCAATGATGGGGCACTATTCCTCCCACTGACACCAATGATGGGGCACTATTCCTCCCACTGACACCAATGATGGGGCACTATTCCTCCCACTCACACCAATGATGGGGCACTATTCCTCCCACTCACACCAATGATGGGGCACTATTCCTCCCCACTCACACCAATGATGGGGCACTATTCCTACCACTGACACCAATGATAAGGCACTATTCCTCCCACTGATACCAATGATAAGGCACTATTCCTACCACTGACACCAATGATAAGGCACTATTCCTCCCACTGACAGCAATGATGGGGCACTATTCCTCCCACTGACAGCAATGATGGGGCACTATTCCTCCCACTGACACCAATGATGGGGCACTATTCCTCCCCCCACTGACACTAATGATGGGGCACTATTCCTCCCCCCACTGACACTAATGATGGGGCACTATTTCTCCCCCCACTGACACCAATGATGGGGCACGATTCTTGCCACTGACACTAATGATGGGGCACTATTCCTCCCACTGACACCAATGATGGCACCCCATCGTTGTCTGTGGGCGGAGCTCTAATAGGAAGAGGTGGAGCCTGCAGATGAAAAGGTGGGACAAATTTTTAGATGTTGGGGGGGCCCGATTTTAGTCTTGCTTAGGGCAGCACAAAACCAAAATACACCACTGATCACAAGTGTTCATGTGACCACAGTTGCTAGGTAACCAAGTAGCTTGCCCAGAAGGGCTCATTCTGCTTTCAGAGTCAGGAGCGGGAAGTGTGAAATATTTCCTGCTGCTTCTAGTGATGCTTGCTATTCATTGTACATTGTTCCCAGAGGAATGTATTTGTATTTAGAGCGTATTTTCTGACTATACATTTCTATAGTCAAAATTCATTAGAAATTTTCAGATTTCTAATCATCAGAGTTTTTATTCTCAATCTTCACACTTGTAATACATGATGGACATTCAAAGACCGCAGACAAGAGGTACGAATTGGCGTTAAATCTATTATTAGGTAACTTTAACCAAAATAGGGTTTTTTGGGTTTTTTTTAATCTTTTTGGATGGAATGCACATGGATGTGAACACCTGTTACTTTTTTTTA